CTCAACAGCCCGTGGCTTGTGGACAACATAATTTTCAACAACAGCAACAGCCGCATCATTCGAATTCGCATCCACATACGCATCAGCATCCATCACATCACCCGAACAGACGCTCGTCCCCAAAGGAATTCTTTCCTATTGCCACGAGCCATGATGGCACACCCAAACTTCCACCAAAACCTAGTCTAAGCGCAAACTTCTACAACAATCCAGGTTAGCTGTGATAATTATACAATTACATACATTTAACTATATATAAAGCTTTCAATATCATTGCAGATAAAGGTACGATGTTTCTTTACCCAAGTACAAACCAAGAATAATATTTATTACCTAGCGATGTGTGATAGGACAAAAATAAAACAAAAAACAAAAACAGAATACCACAAAGAGAGATAGAGAAAAGGTAAAACGTGGCATCAAAAGCATAAAAAATAGAAAATATAAATGATATAGATACAGGAAACAAAATGTATATGTATGTGTATTCAATATATAGTATGGACCGAGTTAAATGCGATAATTTTTATTATTCAAAACTAAACAAACAAACAGAAAAAATTAAAAAAATAAAATAAAAATCAAATTAAATCCGAGATTGAAGAGGATGTATGTTATAATAAATTATATTATAAGAAATTGTAAATACTGAGAACATTGTATTGATCGTAGCCCGTAAAAACAATAAAGTATAACACTATTGTTAGACATTGGTCAAATTTGGTATTTTGTTTGCATTTTGGAACAAGTTATCGTATAATTCATGTAGTGCTTTAATCAAAACACGTATGTATTTTTGCTTAAACCTAACAATCTTAATCTCTTGCAAAAGAAAGTCTTCTAAAAACTAAGAGTATACTAGACGACAGCAGTTAAATCTTATGGAAAGTATGTGATTAAAAGTTTCATTTAAAAAAATTCCATTTCACATGGACTCTGGGTAAATAAGGGAGTATAAAATGTATAGAAGGGGACTGGCGACAAGACACTTTGAACTCAGACAGACCGATCGACGCTCTACTGGAGCCACTGAGCACCATTGGAGTCTTACCGAGTAGTTGATGCCCTAAACCCCACCTTCGCAGGCCACATAAAGCAATCTGTACTTTATGCAGGCAAATATAATTTTCATAATCACTAGCTTAATTTAAAGTCGATGAATTGTTAATTCTTCAAATTAACTTTAAATTTAGCTACAACAGTATGCCAATCTTGATCAATGCAAGGCCGAAACTTGTTTTTAATTTGTCTTGATTCTAACAAATTTGATGTCACATTATGAGAAGTTCATGATGGTATACTTGACGAATATAGTTGAACGCCCTTGTCCAATACACGAAAGCCTCAAAAACTTTGCCATTAAACAGCTGACAAAGAAAAACTGAAAATTAAAAAACCAACGCAGGCGACCGGAACACAGGTGTTATTAAATGAACCACAAATAATTAAAAGGTACGGTGAGAGATCGTCTATTGGTTTGAATTGTAATAAGGTTATAGGTGGGTAACTAGGAAAGCCCCATGTGTACATTGAGGTCTATGTAGGCTAAGGGGCATAGCGAAAGAGGCCTAATTAATACCGTTTAAGCTAATTGTTGTCGATGTTGTGTATTGCAATTAAATTATATAAGAGCAACATCGACAACTGTTTATTTCCTTTCGCTTTTCAGTGAACGCTGATGACGTCGCTCAAATGCTTCCTGAAATTTGGCTGATTGTCCCCCATAACTGGTTATTCGTGTATTCCTGAAACATTTTTATTTTATATTTGCAACGAAGCGGGAAGGCGTGTTTTTGTATTTGGCTCATTGTTCGCTGCTATACCCTAACCAAACCCAAAAAGGCAATTTAACCAACTAACAATGCTCATAACTAAATTATAATGCGTTGAGCTCAGTTAAAGAATAGTATCTTCAATGACCTCAATACTCATTTTTTGTCAATATTTATAATGAACAGCATTTAAGTATTTATATGTGCATTGGCCTTTCTGATTATTATGCCAAAAGTTTAAGAAAATATCTTAAGTCCGAATTAGGAAATTGAAAAACCTTAGCATGTCCGATTTTGAAAGGAAGAGGGAATACATTTTTTGATAAAATAAAGAATTTAAAAAAATAATAATCGTCACGAATTCTCTGAAAGTACTTTAAAATAAATATTGTTAAAACTTTTCAATTAGTCGCTGATTAATCATCTTTTTATAGAGAGCAAAATACCTTAACACCTCTAAGCTGTGCTTTGAAACCAAAATGTGTCTTATTTTGAGTTAACGTCTCACGAGCGCGCTGTAGGTTTAATAAACATATCAATAACAAAATCTTGAGTGCTATAATTAGTTGGTAAAAGAGTTACGCTGATTACGCTAATAAAAATATATAAAGATATATGTATGTATGTAAGTATATACTTCTATATTTAAATACATCAAATAATAGATTGATTCCGTAGACAAATGAGAAATTTGTGTTCGTAATTTCGCTTTTATTTATAGAGATTGACAGGGTGAGAGTCAAGGCCGTTGGCCAAGATCAGTTCCTTAACTCTTGCCGCAGAATACAAATTTGAATTAATTTTAAAAAATGTGTATATATTAGGCCATACTATTATACTCATTCACGAAAATGAATCAGTATATTGGTTTTGTGCAATGTTCGTCTGGCTGTCCGTCCGTCTGTCCGTCTGTTCGAATGAACGCAATCTATTTCGGCGCTATTGAAGCTAAAGACTTGAAATTTTGAGCACATACTCGTGTATATCTCCGATTTATAGTGTTAAAATTTTCCCGATCCGCCCACTATGGGCGTGGCAAATCGGAAAATGCATGTTAGGAAAATCATGTTAGTTGAAGAGCTAGAAAGCTGAAATTTGGTATATAGGTCCGCGTCGACCACCCAAGGTCACGAGCTATGGCGGATATATCTCCACCCATTGGGGGCGTGGCAAATCGGATAAAACTGTATCTCCAAGAGTTTTAAAGCTAGAGCGCTGAAATTTTGTACGTCAGCTAATATTTTGATTCTATAAAGTCTAAAGACAACATTATAAGTCAACGCCCATCAGGGGCGTGGCAAATCGGACCTGAAGATTAAGTGATTTTTTAAATTCTCCTTTATTTTGGACACTATTGATGGCAGAGACCTCAAATTGTGTATATATACTCAGGCTGATCATCCAAGACCAAAAATTTTGTCGGCTATATGTCCGCCCACAGGGGGCGTGGCAAACCGCAAAAGTTKATATCTCCTAAAGTATAATAACTAGAAGCTTTAAAATTAGATAGCTAGGTTACCAGTAACCTCCTCTATCGATGACCCAAAAATAATTTTTACGCCTCTTTAGGGGCGTGGCATATCGAAAAATACCCTGTAATTTTCACATTTTTGAGGGTAAGCATTTAAACTTTGCAGTTAGGGTACCGTTCTCAGAACAGTAGGGGCGTAGAAAATCGGAAAAACTGTGCGAGCGAAACTGAGCTACTAAATTGTGTATGGGATGTGAATGAGTATTCCGCAGTCGGTAACGCCCGACTGCAACGTTCTTACTTGTTTTAAATAATATTTACTATTATTAAATATTAAAGCTCAATTACACTTCTGGTTTGAATTTCGCAGCAGTCTTGACCAACATCTTGATAGGACTGTTCATTCACATCCATCAGACCTACGACAACAATTCTCTCACCATATTTATTTATCGTCAGAATAGTCATTTGCATATCACGTTTCAGTTGCGCAATTAGCACGTTAAACCATTCTACGAATACTCATATGCATGTATACATAAGCACATATTGCATCTAAGAAGAAGAATATGGTGAAGAAAACACCCACAGCAATTGCTAAAATTACTCAATGAAATTTGCATTTAATTTGTTTTTGATTGCAGCTAATGAGAGAAATCTCCTCGGCAATTCTCACATAATTAGCGTCTAAATTGGTCAACTGCATAATTGTATTACATGAACCCCTCAAGTCGCAAATCCAACGAAAATACCCCTACGCTAACTAATCACATGTTAGATCTATAATTCGTGCGATTTCAGTTTATGCCTATTGGCCAAGAAAGGCCTGCTGTTGCTTAGCATAATATTAGTGATCAATGAGGATAAAACTACACTTAACACACTTAAAGTCTATTGAACTTGTGCAAAATACAAATTTGCAATAATTCAGAGGTCCACTCTGAACTTATTTGAGGGGTTCCTTAAATTCGTATCGAAGGTTATTATTAAGAGTAATATAATTTGACGAAAAGTAGTATAATACATTTTAAATACGGTTATAAATATGTGGTACATTCAACCACTATAAATAAATTATTTATATCTGAATAGATCTCCATTCTTAATTATTATAAATTGTATATTTTCACCATTAGTTCTTAAATGTCATAAATGATTTTGTAGAGTAATTCAGAACAAAATAAATTGTTACAGCTAAAGTATTTATTTCTTTCTTTCGTTATAACAATTTTATTTTATTTATTTATTTCCGACAAATTATTAATGTTTTTTTTTTACTCTCATTTATACAATGAGAAACAGAAGAAATAAAATAATAAATAGAGAGCTGACCGATGCAACTGAAAGCGAAGCCCATTCGAAAGGGGTTTAGTTTTTGTACTTTAACCAAGGAAACTCCCACCAAATCGACTCTTGTTAAAGTTAGCCGTCATTCAAGTAATTATCGTAAATAACTTGGAATCGCGCCTCTCTCCAAAGTTAATTATGAAACCGATGATGGGGATGGAATTGGGCTTGCAGGTGTGTGTTGTACTTTCCCGATTACTAAAGTCAATGACGATCGATCGTTACGAGTAAACAAAACCAGCTGAGAATCGAGAACCGAGAATAGAGAACCGAGCGGGTTGAGCGATCTTATTTGTGAGAGCGTCGGCATTGTCTTTATGTTAGTCTCGTCTGTGTGTGTGTGTGTTCTCGAGCTTGTGTGATTGTGTGTGTATTTCTCACAGGTTTTATAAAAGCAGCAAGAGGTGCAACAATTCGTTCAGTTCGGTTGTGAACTTCAGAATCATTGTCAAGAGTGCTCAGCTATATCAAGGATCAGCTACAACCCACCAGTCGCAGCAAAGGCAATTACTTTAGCTCAACTGAAAAACACAATCAAAATAAACAGACATCAGCCACTGAGAACGTGCTGCCAAATAAACCAAAACAAAAGAAAAAAAAAACAAAAAACAAAAAAACAGAACACAACCGAAACAAAAATGCTGGCCAGTGAAAATTTTCAAACACACCTCTACAACCGCAGTTCTATATATAAGCCCTACAATGAGGAATTGGCAAGCATGGCAAAGCAATTGACGACGGCCACGGCTGATGCAGCTGGTATCGATGCAGCGCAGGCGGCAGTTGACTACGGCAATCCAAGCAAGCAAATGTTGGGAAGCAACAATAGTAGCAGCAACAGCAGCGGCAGCAGCAGCAAAACCTCCTCCTCGAATAGCAACAATAACAACAACAACGTTGCCAATGGCCTATCCAGCTTTGTGGCCAGCCACCCCTCGGCCGAGTTTGAGGGCTTTATACGTGCCTGCGTCGATGAGATAATTCAGCTAGCCGTCTTACAGGGTACCAATCGCTCATCCAAGGTCGTGGAGTGGCATGAGCCTGCCGAGCTACGTAAGCTATTCGATTTTGATCTGCGGGATCAGCCCGACTCTCCAGATAAGTTGCGTCAGCTGCTTCGCGAGACAATACGGTTCTCGGTCAAGACTGGTCACCCGTATTTCATCAACCAGCTGTACTCGGGCGTGGATCCCTACGCGCTGATCGGTCAGTGGCTAACCGATGCACTCAACCCAAGCGTTTACACATATGAAGTGGCTCCTGTTTTCACGCTGATGGAGGAGCAGGTACTTGGGGAGATGCGACGCATTGTTGGCTTCCCCAACAACGGTCAGGGTGATGGCATCTTCTGCCCGGGTGGCTCAATAGCAAACGGTTATGCAATCAGCTGTGCTCGCTATCAATATGCACCCGAGTCCAAGGTAAGCATCGGGCCGAAGGCCAAAACCACTTTCGGGTTCCGTTTTCATGATCGTTGTCGCTTTTACGGCTAGCGTTGTGTGTTTGAAGCCAAACCAAGCGGAAGCGAATACGCGGCCTAGACGCTCACTCGACTAACGTAACAGCGTTTACAATATAGTTGCCCTCGAAAATATTAGTCAAAGCTTTATGCTGACTGCACTATACTCTTGACACTAGTGTTGCCTAGTTGGCTGTATTCTAATATTTGAATATCACAAAATCTGTAGAGATTTGAATACAATTTCAATTATTGGCCGCAACTCGAAACGAGACTATACACTAACGTACTCCAATCAATAGGTCAGATCAGTCTCAGCTATTAAGTAACTTGAGAAAATACTCTAGAGTCGAATCCATAAAAGTTTCAATTCTTGTCTTGGCACTAATACCGTTAGAATCTATCAATTCTGAAAATAAACTCTAGTTTAGAAGCTACAAAATAGAAATACCATTTACATACATGTGAATATATGTATGTTTATATATACGTATATGTTTAGTGGATCTTGATTTAAGAGTTAGCCCAATCAATTGAGGTTAGAGATTGTTTTTGGTTTGTGGAAGAGAAATAAGTGTCAGTGTGCTTCCTGGCGCAACATCCTTATCTGTTTGAACTCAAAAACTCAACACTGGTTCAACCGAATTATGTAGATCTTTGTAACAGACTGACTGACTGAACTAAATACTGCTGTAAGCTCGTGTTCTGATCATTCATTTAATGCTTCTTACATACATATGTAATTTACGGCTGGGCCGAGTTTATAGCCCTTACTATGAGAACTTTCTTATAATTCAATTTAAACACATTCAAATACATTCGACATATTCGTAATTCTATTTAATACTTATCTCAGAAAAATGGGTTATTTAATGCGAAGCCCTTGATAATATTCACGTCCGAGGATGCCCATTATTCAGTCGAAAAGCTGGCCATGTTCATGGGCTTTGGCAGCGAGCACGTACGGAAGATAGCTACCAATGAGCTGGGTAAGATGCGTCTAAGCGATCTGGAGCAGCAGATTCAGTTTTGCCTGGACAACAATTGGCAACCGTTGATGGTATCTGCGACAGCGGGCACCACAGTGCTGGGTGCCTTTGACGACTTGTTGGGCATATCTGAGCTTTGTCGCAAACACAACATGTGGATGCATGTAGATGCGGCCTGGGGTGGCGGAGCGCTTATGTCCAAGAAGTATCGACAATTGCTGAATGGCATTGAGCGGTAAGTTGCGAAAGAAAAAATGTGGAATAGCCAGTTTAAATTGTAAAATTCTTTGAATAGCGCCGACTCGGTTACCTGGAATCCACACAAGCTCTTGTCAGCCTCGCAGCAGTGCTCGACTTTCCTCACGCGGCACACCCAAATTTTGGGCCAGTGCCACTCGACCAATGCCGCGTATCTGTTCCAGAAGGATAAATTCTACGACACATCCTTCGATACAGGGGACAAGCACATTCAGTGCGGTCGTCGTGCGGATGTCTTCAAGTTCTGGTTCATGTGGAAGGCCAAGGGCACTAAAGGCTTTGAGGCCCATGTGGAACAGGTCTTCGAAATGTCAGAATATTTTACAAATAAGCTACGTGAGCGTCCTGGGTTCGAGTTAGTGTTGGACAAACCAGAGTGTACAAACATTACGTTCTGGTACGTGCCGCCCAGCTTGCGACAAATGGAGCGCAATCAAGAGTTCTATGATAAGCTCCACAAAGTGGCACCCAAAATTAAGGAGGCGATGATCAAGAAGGGTTCCATGATGATCACATATCAACCGTTGCGCAAGTTGCCAAACTTCTTCCGACTGGTACTGCAGAACTCGTGCCTGGATGAGTCGGATATGTTATATTTCCTCAACGAGATCGAAACACTAGGTCAAAAGTTGTAGCTGCACAATAGATGTGCTCCATTCATATTAAGAACATTCTTCTTAGGCATATGTTTGTATACATGTTGGTATTATATAACTTTTATTAGCTCAAAATAATCATATTTTATCGTATTCGAATAGATTTCGTACATTAAGCTGCTGCGATCATAAAATAAACCAAGACTATCACTAAGTTCTAATGGAGTAAACCTATTTCAAAAATAGAAATCCTTTTATGAAATTTACAAACAATTTACGAAGAATATACCACACTGACCTTTTTATTTTCACGTACAATAGACTTCGTTTGAATTAGCCTAAAAATTAATTTTATAAACTGACGATTTGCTGGATACATTAGAAATCTGGAAATAATATACATTTTTAAATACCATAAAAAAAAAAAAACAAGTAAGAAGACTCCAGTCGAGAATGCTCGACTAGGAGATACCCTGAACCCTCCAATCTGATATTCTAATCACTGTGCACTTCTTTTTGGCACACATATATACACACGCACGTACTAGAACGCGCTCTGCTAACTGTGCAATAAGCAGCGACTGCGCTTGGGCTGCGCTGCAGTGGGGGCAACATTATAAGAATTTATTGGTTGAATAATTTAATTTCTAGACGTACAATCTTAATGAAACTTTCAGAACATAATCATAATTTTCAACAATTTTCAACTTGATATGCGCGTGATATACACGGACCTAGGAAAAAATGTCAAGTCTCTAGCTCTTATATCTTCTGAGATCGACGCGTTCATACATACGGACGGACGGACAGACAGACGGACAGGGCCAAATCGACTCAGCTCGTCGCCCTGATCAAGAATATATATACTTTGTGGGGTCTGCCACGCCTCCTTCTGCCTGTTACATACTTTTAACAAAACCAATATACCCTGATTTCCCATTGAAAATGGGTTCAGGGTATAAAAAAAGAGTAGATTTCTATATGCAGGAAACTGCGGAAAATCGAAAATCTAATTTCTGCAGGTCCTAGCTTTGAAGAGCCTACTCTGTTGATATTTTAAATACAAGAGGGGCTGGAAAATTTTAGGAAACTTTATCTCCAATGGGTATTCAATTTCTCCAATTTTTCAACTACAAATGTAAGTCTAACTTACGAGTGAATATAATATTGCACTCATTAAAACTTACAATATTTGAAAATTAATTGCTTATGTATAAATTTATTTGCTTGGCAGTCATCTCATCTCATCCTCTATGGATTGAGATTAGATATGTGAACAAGTTTTAGTTACTAGTTTTGGGATGGCTTAAGCCAAGGCCATTTAGTGAGATCACCTCCGCCCGCTTTGACAATAGCTTCTTGGATACCTAAGCTCTGTCCAGGCGGAATGCCATACCCAATTTGCAGGCCGTGCGGATTGGAAGGCGTCTGACAGTCCATGGTACACTCTTTGCGCAGCACCGTGTCCACCTCAACTGAAGAAAAGAAAGCCACCGACATGGGCAGGTCTTTCAAGCCAATGCGTGAAGCACAAAATGAGCGAGTGAGCAAATTAGTAACATGCATGGCCAGCGCTGCCTTTGGCGCCAACTCATCCTTGACCAAATAACGTAACTCGTCGTGGAAACTCAAACAGAATCGAGCATGCGGACCCAGGAGCCAACGCATGCTAACGAGCATTAAGTGTAGAAAGTCCACTGCTCCGCTCTGCACCACCCAATTGATGCGAGTGGGCAAGAACCGTTGCTCCAAGTCCGCTTCTCCATTCGAGTCCAAAGCACGACTCAGGCGACAATTAAGAAATGGCGTTTCGGGCTGCTCGCGTGTGGCAATCTCCTCCAGCCGATTGAACATGGCGCTCTCCGTGCCACCCTGCCAGCTGGGACGGTGGAAGATTTCACTGATTGAACGATTGCGCTGCAGAGCAAAGCGCCTGGCCTCATAACTGCTGTAACTGTGAATGATGGAAGTACAGACATAAAACTGTCATTTACTCAATGTATTGTGAACGTACGCTTTGTCCTCCATCTCATCATGGAACTCTTCACGCAAGCGATACACTCGCTTGCCTTTCGTTGCAGCAAACATTTTCATGGCTTTCGCTTTGGCCTCGGTGGCGCTTAATGTTGGGTTGAATTGTTGCAGAAGCGTTTCTGCAAACTGCTGACCTGCGCCGTAGATCCGCGCATAGTTAAGAACCTTCGCATGATCTCTGGAGATGCCGACCACCTTTGCTGTAATGGAATGCATGTCACTGCCATTCGATTTGCTACCACTGAGTGTCATCCAGCCCAAGGGCGTGGCTCCGTGCTCGCCATGGGCATAGGCATCGCCTAGCACGGATGCAATCCACAACTCTTGTGAGTCCACATCGGCGCCAACCAACTTGTAGCCTGGTGGCGCTTGTACCATCGAACGTAACTCGGAACCAATGCGATTGGCGCGTGAATTGGAGGCAGTCATCCATGTGGATTCCATGGCTCGCCTTGTCAAAGTGCCAGCGACCACGACTTGGGGCAAAATAGCTCCATAAGAAGTGCGCTGTGCATGCGCTTGGAGTTCGCCAGGCAGATGCTCCGAATGTAGCCAGACCACCATTTGCCCTAAAATGCGGTCTCGATTGTTCCTCCAATAGGACATCATGCGAGCTATTTCAATGACACGCGCCGCAGCCTGGCACGAAGGATCTCCACTACTCAGTGCATGTTCAGAGAACTTATTTAGAAAATCCTTAGACAGCGGATTTCCCACGCGGAACGAGGGCCCGTTTTTGTGAGGCAGCTTCAAAAAGAAGCAACAATCATCTATCACATGGTTGCACCAGACCCCAGAGCCTGTAAAGCACAGAGGGTATATGAGAGCGACGACTATTTTAAGCTTTCATTACCTTTGTATTGCTTCTCGAGGTTCAGTTGTCGCTGCGAGATTTTTTTATAAAAATGTCGCTTGCTTAGATGTTCATCCACTTGTTTGGGCAATTGGTCCATGGCTAGATCTACTGCCTCTCCAACGGCAAACTGACGCGCAAACTCGGGAATGGCACAGCGACCGAGCAGTTGCTCAATCGGTATGTTCCTACTGCGGTTACTCTGGAAGCTACGAAAAGGCACCAGAAAACCCCAGCCATGTTCGCGAAGATAGTGAAGGGGATAGCTCTCCCAGCAGAGGGATAACAGCTTTGCAGCTAATTGCATACCCGTGCTAATGTCACACGCACCAGGTGTCCAGGGCTCCTCATCCCCATCTTCAGTGTAGTCAGGGGGTGGCTTGCGGCACAGCTTGCGATACCATTGCGGATAGCCAGGCAGTAGGGGCCGTCGCGAAGGCAGCAATGCACGCTGATTATAAAGATACTGGAACTTGCGCTGCAATCGCAGCTGCTCAACGTCGAGTCCCTGTTCTGGCAGTTGCACAGTGGATAGTTGCTTGCGCTTAGGCATCTGCTTTAGCTTCAACGCTTGGACGCTCCAATCCTCATCCCAAAGCCACAAATTATTCCGATACTTTTGATCGTGCAGCAACGCACAAGCTTCTTCCGCTCGCCGGCCCAAATGGTATTTAGCCTCAATGCTAAGATCCTCGTAGGCCAGTTGCGCATCGCGAATATAACGCTCCCAGTTGGAGTTCACGGGCAAATACGCAGTGCCCATTTCCAGCATACCCGCCAGCGTTACGGGATGTGGAAAGCGCTCTTCATACAAAGGATAGAGCTTGCCTAGAATGCGATGTGTCGCCTCTACATCTCCGGCACAATAGTTCACTAACGACTGGAACTGGTGTCTCACTTGCTCTAGTGTGCCTTCCACAAAAATATTGCGTGGCTCCTTGGACAAGGGCTCACCACCACAATACAGACGATGCACATCCACTAAGTTGTTAAGAGAGCTCTGCGCCAGCCAGTCCAGATCCTCAACAGCGGGGTCCTTCTTTGATTTGAGCATAGCACGTTGATAGCTAGTAACTCCACTGACGCAGATGTGCAAGGACATGGTATCCACAAAGCGGGTGTTCGTATCCTCTATTAAATACTGCTCGCGAATCCGCGCTCTATCGTAGGAGACATTGTGCCCCACTACTAAGGAGGGTTCCTTGTGGCCTAGAGGTATAAGCTCTTCTAGCGTGTAGTGTGGACGTTCATTGCTATCCACATCGATCGGCTCAACGTGCGGCACAGTTAAGCGATGTTTCGTGAGCTTTGGACTTACCCAACAGTACCAGCGCTTGGTGCTCACCGCTGTTGCCATTACCGGGTCGTTGCCCGCACGAACGCACACCTCCACATCGAAAATTATGCCTGTTTCGAGTGGCTGTGCAACGGGCGTGGCAGTGCCACTCACTGGATCATAGGCTGTCCAACCGGCATGGAAAGCCCAACGTTTGGGTTTTGCAGGCAGCTCCTTGCAAGCGATCAGTGCTTGAAGTAGTGTTTTATACGGAGCCACCTGCTCCTCGGCTATTGAGTGGAAGTGCTCCTCAATATTTCGGCCACGCAATGGAGGCAGCTTTAACTCCACATCTGGCATGGGCGATGTGCTGGTTACATCGATGCCATGACGCAGCAATTCGGCATTGTATGCCTTAGCTGCAAGGTGTTCTGCTTCAGAATACTCTCGTTTGGACTGTGGAAAGAGCTGGGCATGCAAATTCTGTGAGATCATCTGCACTTTTACCAAATTTTCAGCATATTCCACATTCTGTGCAGCCTTGGTCTGAACAGACGGCACGTGTTCTGTTCTAACTTTTGTTTTACTTGGAAGTTTGCGATAAACCTTTATGCTGCTGCTGGCGTAATGCTCACGCCCAGCTTTGGTAGCGTACCAACGTAGCAGACGCATTAAAATTCAACTCCTTAAAAACGTATTATTTTAAAACAAACATCAGCAAACTTCGGCGCTCACTGCAGCAAACTGAAACTTATCGAAAGTGAAATCGGTCAGCCGCCACAAGCATAAATAGTGGGATGACACCGGATTCTGGCCTGTTTATGATAATGGAATATTATTAGCAGGCGAATCGATATGTGAAATTATTTCGAATACTCACAACTAACGATGTAGAAAATGTGTCATGGCAATAAAATTAAAAGCATAATCGAAAAAATAATATAACTTTAAACTGATCAGCGTTAGTTACTTTTTTAATAAGTGCTCACTGTAACGTAATCTATCCAATAATTCAAACAATTTTTAGTTATTACTTTGCTTTTGATTCTTACGGGATTTAGAATTTTGTCGTTTCTATCGAAATATGTAACAATCCCTAAAGCAATCAATATTTAAACTAACCGCGTACAATGAACTATCATTTTAACAAATCACTTTAAAAAGTAGTTCCACCTCTTTTCCAAAGATAAAAACAACACTTTCAAATACATTTACAAGATTTGTTATATAAGTTGAGAGAATTAAAGAACATACTCTAATTGTTAAAAATTAAGATATTTATATATATATAAAAAGCTTGTATACATTAAACAATTGGAAAAGCATTTTTTTTTTTTGTTAACATTTTGGCAAAAATACTGCGTATCCGAACTGCATTTAACATTTTGTTCTTAACAAAAATAAAAAATTACTGCAGTTGAAATGGAAACGTACATAAAGAAAAACATATAGATGTGGAAATCAAGGGTCGAACACAGATTTTAGGGATACACTCAGATCTGCATGTTACGCATGCTTCCATTGATGCCATCTTGCTCCACCGTCCAGATTACCAACTGGCCATCGACTCCAGACGTGGACACCTTGCTCGCACTTGCCTTGTCACCAGAATACAAACGTATGCTGGTAATGGCGTTCTGGTGAATGGAGTCCACGACTACATCCGTATTTTCAGTGCGCATGTTACAATCCATAGACTTGAAGAAGTGCATGGCCGTGATGCCACCCGCTTCACGCTTCTGTGATTTGTCTAGCTTGCCGCTTAGCACAAGCTTGTTATCCGAAGTCAAGCTGTAGAGCAGCGGCACACAGCTGTAGCCGGCCACTACGACAGATGTGGGTGAGACCCATTCGCAGGACAGGAAAGGCAAGTAACCGGTGCGACAGCGAATTACCGTATTCCCATTGGTGGCATCCACAATGCTCACACAGCTATCATGACCCACCCAGCACACCTTGTTACCATCAATGGAGAAGCTGACACTATTGATCCAGCCTCCCCCAGAGGTAGAAGAGTTCTTGAATTCTGCCATGAGTTGACCCAAGGGCTTCCGATTGCCCCAGGGCGTTGGTGTCGGCGGTTCTTCGATGTCCTTGATGAATGCGGAAAAGACGCGTACCTTGTAGTCTGTGGAGCCAGCCACCAGTAGCACATTATTCGGATGCCAATCCAGAGAAGTAACCGTTGACCTTATCGGCTTCTTAATATGCTTCGATACCCACCAATCGTTCTCCGATTCAAAGTAACAGACCGAAATAAGACGCGCTCCAGATCCCACGGCAAATTTATTTTCTGCTGGCGACCATTTCACACAAGTAGCAGCACGATTAATCCGTAACAGCACTAAAGTTGGCTTCCATTTTCCGTCCTCCGCTTGCGTCCAAACATAAGCATTTCGATCTGCGGCACAGCTAACGATGCGATTCGTTTCTTTTGCCCAATCGATACCCATCACACGCAAATCGTGCTGGTTAAGCACATCGGCAAGCTTCCAGCCGTGGCCCTCGCGGCTGTAGATATGAATCTCATGGTTGTTCGGAGACAAAGCGATTTCTGAATAAAAAGTGAGTCATAGATTAAAAGGTCTGGGTCTCTTTATGTATATTACTCAACACATGCGTCACTTACGAGAGCGATCCTTATTCCAGGCGTGGCATGTTATAGCTGCTGGCGTGTTGCCAAAAGTGTACTTTTCAGCCATGGTAAATTTAATTAATAAACGCAGCTAAACAGAGAATTGATACCACACACGTAGTCGTATTTTTATCGCTATTTTTTGGGCGTTGTTTTTCTACTGCGTAAAGCTTGAGTGCCTCCTTTCTAGTTTTAATCGCGGACTCTGGGCCGTCTACACGATTAAGCTAGCTCCAAAAGTAAAACTTTGATTTACTTGCGCAAATTTTCAGGAAAATGCAAGCGCAAAGATTTTTAAGCGTTTGCAAATTTGTAAGGTGCAAGAATAAATTACATTTGGTGGGCAGTGTTGAGTAATATCGATTTGGTATATATCGATATTAGAGTGACTCATTTTAAGCCCAATGGCGCAAGTTAAGACTTTGAAATGGTTACTAGACATAGTCGATATCTATATCTAAGATGATGTGTTTAACTTATTTCTTACGGCATTTCCATTTGGGATGGTGCTGAAGGTTACACTGTTTTTTTATTAACTATATAAACTTTAAAGTTGCCGATTACGCATTCGCGAGACGGTTATAAAATGTTGTGTACCACTTCACGATGAATTCGTTAGTTCTGAACTATCGGTGACTTATTGTGATCAACTTAATCTATTCTAGAATTTGTTTTGTTTTTGTGGTGCACTTACTATCTACTCCTTACATTACTTACCATACCAAACATTCATACATGGTACATCTTCAAACATGCAACACGTATTACTTATGCACTCTAGCCTACACATACATTCATAAAAATATTTGATAGAGCAGATACCGAAGAGTAAGCATACAGAGACCATATAAAATCGGAATCTGGACACACACTAATTTTAAGGCTCATAATTTTTATAATTGAACCGAGCAAATTCGAAGCTGTGCTAACAGATTTTCGTAAAAAAAATTAAGTTAAATAACTGCACCTCTCCAACATCAATACCATTTTACGAGTACTCGATAGTTTTGTCCTATCATAAACACGAGATTCATATAGTTTCTATGTCTTATAACCAAATTTATATTAAAATATAAATATAAGTTTTTTATTTGAATATGTTAATTATTCTTGGATATATTAAATAAGAATGGAAGTATTATAAGAATATAATAATCATTCTTGGATATATTAAAATATAAATACAAGTTTTTTACAATAATCATACTTGGACGTAAAAGTGAAAAATTGAACTTCAAATTCTATTTGATATCAATATAAAAACCCGTTTTATTTTATATACAATTAATAAACTAACTAATCTGGAAATTTGTTTATAAGAAATGTAGCTCTGTTAAATTTACAAAGGCGGGCTTTTCGACTTTTACATTGATATCGATAGCAAAGTGTTTATAACATAAGGCGCGCAGCTGATTTTCTCGTTTGCCTTTATCTACCGTTTTGTAGTCATATTTCAGTTGTAGCTAAAGCATTGTCGAGGGAATTGAATGAGCTTGCGTTTAGTGTTTTCTCGCCGGAACTTTTAATTGAAGTAAATAAGCAATATGTTTACGTTGTGCGTGCTTATTTCGTCGCTACTTCTGACGCTGCAGCTGGGTACAGCTTTAGAATTTCAAGATTGTGGATCAAAGACGGGAAAATTTACTCAAGTCACCATTGAAGGCTGTGATACCACAAAGCCGGAGTGCCTTCTACGACGAAATACCAATGTTTCAATTTCGATAGACTTTGCATTGGCCGAGACGGCTTCGGCCGTTAAAACCGTTGTGCACGGCAAGGTTTTGGGCATCGAAATGCCTTTTCCACTCACTAATCCCGATGCCTGCCTTAACAGCGGACTCAAGTGTCCATTAGAAAATAACGAAGCTTATAGATATACGGCCACGCTGCCTGTACTGAAGAGCTATCCAAAGGTCTCAGTGCTAGTTAAATGGGAGCTGAAGGACCAGAACAGTGTGGATATCGTATGTGTTGAAATTCCTGCTAAAATACAATAATATGCGGGCACTTGAAACTGTTCAACTTGCATTGCTATATTCTTATTGTAATCTAATTTAAAATAAAGAAAAAAAGCAAAAAGTAAATTTATTTAAATGATTTTGTTCATTAAGAGGCCGAGCTATTTCGGTTGACTGTCACTGCCATCGTTTTCTTTGTTTGCATTTTTATTGCTTTTTCCGCTATGTGTGGATTGTATGTAATAAATAAAGGTGAAGAAACGGATAAATTATCTGTCTTGCCAATTGTCAGTGTACTTGATTATTTCTCAATTGCTAGAATGCTGTGGGGTAGTACTTATCAGCAACGTACTGATATGCAACGATTTAGCAAGTGAGCGATTAATGGCCATTCAGTAAGTACGAATCTATATTTAATATTCTATTTAGTAATTGAAAATTCTGGAAAAGCCCACACACCTTGAACCATTTTGACAAATTACATAAATTTTGCACAGTATTATATTATAAGCAAAATAAAAGTGAATTAATAAACATATAATAGAGATAGTTAGCTATGTATACTACTACTACTACTAAATATGCTTTAGCATAGGGGTTTGATGCATGTATATATATATATATGTATATGTATATATATTTACATATTAACAACTTAAACATTTCTAGCCAAACATGGATAAAAAGGTACACTGAGGAACGAATGGATAAAGCGCGGGGAAGTTCATGTATAAATTAAAATGTTATATCATAGCATAATCATCAATCTATTTGAATTATTTATTTTCGAAACTAGAAAGGGATTTCTATCAGATATCAATACTAACTTGTCTTGATGAATACATTTCAAATAAGGATATAAATTCCGAATGAATCCAACGCCGATACAATTGTTTTTAATTATAAATGATATTATTTATGCGGTTGCTCGAACAACAATTTCTTTGTCAATTCTGCGGGCTCTGATAACTTTCTTTGTTTGTTTATGTAGGCGACGCAGCTGATTATGAATCAAAATATATACATATATGATTAATATTTACTCATGTTTTTTGTGGAACATTTTCGAAACCTTATCTAACAGAAACACACTATAAGAAATGCCGTATTAAATTCATCGATCCTCGCTCCATTTTCCCAACTTAGTTAATATATTATTGAATACCCAACTCATATGACATGCTCTTATTGTTGGATATTAAATTAGATGGATCACTTTTGGATGCCAAGGCATTAATCCTGAAAAAGGTTGCATTTTTAGTCAGTATGGTGAAATAGATTATTCTTCAAAGCTTTTTAAACAGCGACATTAACATGTACCTTAGATTAGTTATATTCTTCTGCAGATCCTTACATGTCTTTGAAAATATCTTTCGCTGTATTCTTAAAGTATACCATTATTCCTAGTAGTTCCCTTTATTAAAGCTAATTAAAAACGTGGCAGATCGTAAATCTCATATAAAATTGTATCGTAATACTATTAATTAATCAATTATCACGAGTAAGAGTCGAGACTGCTCGACTAGGAGATTCTCTGTAGCCAGCAGAGAGCTGACTTTCCAATTATTCTACACTTT